AACAGATTGATGTTTCCTTCTCACATTGATGTTTCACTCTGCCTCCCTTCTTCTCTCCCTCCCTCTCTCTAAAATCAATTGAACCCACCCCCGAAAAACATATCCTCAGGTGAGAATATTAAAATAATCGAAAGGACCTTTAGACTTATATATCTTTTAATCTAATTTTCTCTGCTCTATTAGTTTTTCCTTCAAATTACCATCTTAATTTTTTTAATCCTTACCAAAAGTTATGTTCTTATTTATTTAGAGAGACAGACAGACTTTGATGGTTGCCTCCTGAATGCATCCAGACCCAGAATCAAACCTGCAACTTTTTTAATGTACTGGATGATGCCCTAACCAACTGAGCCACCTGGCCATGACTCAAATTGATATTAGTAGGTAATATGGAGTGAATAATATTGCCAAGATAAATTTCACAAAGCCTTGAGAAAGTGCCATAGTTTCATAATCTATATGAATAAAAGGGTAGTATGCTAATTAGACTGGATAGACCAGATGTCTTCTGCAATGGCTGGTAGGACCGGGGAGGGCTGGCAGCCGCAGTGGCTGCGAGGCTCAGCAGTGGCAGTAACAGCAGGATGATGGGGGTAGCGCCTTCCCCTGACCATCCAGTTGCCTTCCGCAATGGGAAGCCAGAGGCAGCAGCCACAGTGGGGTGATGGGGATGGTGCCTTCCCCTGATCAGCCTGGTCGCCTTCCACTGCGAGAGGACTGCCCAGACTGCAGATTAGGACATCCCCTGAGGGCTCCCAGACTGTGAGAGGGGGCAGGCTGGGCGAGGGATTATCCCCCACTCCCCAGGCACCAGGCCTCTAGTAGGGAATAATAAAGAAAACAGTTTGACCACCAAGAAGGATGATAAGCAAGCTAATAGGAGGAAACTGGAGGAACCTGCTCAATTTGACGTTCACTTATTTCTGAAAATGCAAACTACAAATAGTAAAGTTAGGTGGAGATGTAGCATCTGGAAGGAAAGACTACATGTGATGTTACCTTTATTTCTTCATTTACATTTAAAGAGCCAGAATAAAGTTACAAATGGCCAGTCTAAATTGTTTCTCCCTTTGGTTATTTAAAAAAAAATTTTTTTTTCTCTTTAAGTAAATGAAGTTCTTTTAAGAAGTGGGTTTATTTATGTTATTTTAAATTTCTTAATGCTTTGGTAATAAATCTTAGATTTCTTTAGCAATAATCAAATATATTTGAATTATTAGTTCCCAAGATGCTTGTTTTATTTTTTTATTTTAGATTCAGATATTTTTGCATTCATTGTTATGATGTCATATTACCTAGTTTATGTGTTTCTTAAAACAGAAAAGTTGACATAAAATAAAACTGAATGAAAGTATTAGATCTGCCCTTGGTTTTATTGATAGATGGTACATTTTGGTAGAGTTTCTTAGAACACCTCCAGTTAATCTTTAAATACACACGCACACACACATACACAAATATATAACCCTCCACTAAGTAACATAGATTTGATCTTGAAGCAGATATTTATGATCTGTATGTACTGGACTTTGATATGTCACACATAGAATATTACTGGTTTTTAATAAGGATGTGTTCAAATTACATTTTATAGATATTTTAAAAAATAGATACAAGTTCATTATATCTTTACAAAACATTCGTGTTTGGTTTCCTTTTATCATGTTTTAAGGTCAGATGTGACTCTAATGTTCCACAATGAGACAGAGATTGATAATCAGGAAAGAATAGCCCCTTAATGTGATTTATATCTATAGATTTTATGTCAGATATGAAAAGTTGCTGTTTAAATTGTAAAGGAGGATCCATTAAAGAACACTTTAAACCATTTTACTATTTAGCTTACCTTGGACTCTTTTTTTAGGATTATGCCCTTTCCAGAAAAAACTTTTACAGCTTATCAAATGCTTATAAAATGTTACTTGGCAAAGTTAAACTATTTTAATATGAATAAAAAGGTAGAAATAATAGGCTATTAAATAATGTTCTTCTTTGTGATTTTAGTACCATTTAATATGAAGTCATATGGTATTTCAGGGGAGTATATAAGCCAGTGATTTTTCTATTTTCCATCAATAATTTAAATTTTCTCTTATGTTAGAGAAAGGCAGATTATTGATATAGTAGGGAATGTTGTAGGTATAAAAATTCTGCAAATGTTTACCCTTTTGTCCTACTTGTTTCAGTATATGGTTGGGATAGATTTGATATAACCTCTAAAGTGCTGCCTAGTTCTGGAGTAAATCTCTGAAAGTATCACACAGCAGTTGACATTTTTATCCCATTGAGTAACTCACTATCTTCACTTAAACTACTGTTTCTTTGTTTCTTTCTACCCCTATCTTTTTAGTGTTTCTTAATCATTTTATTTGACCAAATCATATTTTTGACAAGCTGAACTATCCTCTGGTTTGTTTGGCTCAGTCATTAATATAGCATGTGACAATTGCCTTTAATCTCTTATAAATTAATCTAGTTTCTAACATGATTTATTTTCTCCACATGAAGGTTTAAATAAAAGAACTAGTTTCTCTTATCAGTGTACAAAAACTAAGCTCTCAGAGGTCCCAAATCTCCTAATTGTCCAATTTTTAGAGCCATTATAATCCTCTCATTTTACAGATGAGGACAGTTTGACAAAAGAGCTCGAGTTAGTTGCCCAAGTCTGACAGGAGATATTACCAAGGATGATACTTTAAGCAGATTTTTATTTTTCTTCTCTCTCTCTTTTCCCCCCCTTCTCTCTCTCTCTCTCTCTCTCTCTCTCTCTCTCTCTCTCTCTCTCTCTCTCTCCCTCCCTCCCTCTCCCTCTCCCTCTCCCTCTCCCTCTCCCTCTCCCTCTCCCTCTCCCTCTCCCTCTCCCTCTCCCTCTCCCTCTCCCTCTCCCTCTCCCTCTCCCTCTCTCTCTCTCACACACACACACACACACTACATATTCATATATATAGTACTCTGTTTCTTAGTTGCAGTTTTCAATCCTCATTATGTATTTCAGAATTTTTTTTTTACTTGTGTTTTATAATTGGATCAAACTGTCCTGTTTTTTCCCTTCCTGAAAATTTTCTGCTTTGCTTTTGCTTTAAGCTTCTCTTTATTCCCATCCAAAAATGAGTTCTCACAATCTTCCTTTTTCTTTCTTCATAGCATTTTTGAATATTTCTCATTAGTTTTTGCAAGTCTTCCTGTTAAAACGCATTTGTAGCTTCAGTGATTTAATGTGAATGATATACTTTTATTACCACTTTCCTTCTCCCAATCTAGACAGAATGGGAATTCTCCAGGGCAGAGACTATCAAGATAATCCAACCTTTGATCTCCATAGCCAAGTGTTTTACACAGACTAAGAGATTACTTGATTTTTTTTTTTTTTTGCATGTATATAAACACCATGTCTGTTGGGTTGCTTTTGTATTAGGAATACAAAACCTAGTTCATACTGCTACAATGAATGAATGGGATATTATAGGTTCTCATAAAAAGAGACATAGAAAGCCAAAAGATAGGCCAGTCTATGATCCAGAGGTTCATAGGTCCATTCGTAATTAGCTCTGTATTTCTATAATGCTCCTGGCTCTGATCCCTTTGGGTTTGGCTTCATTCTCAGGCTAGCTTCCCTCATAGTGCAGAGAAAGCTTTCAGAACTTCTGGAATTATGGGCTTCCTCTTTTACACCCTAAGAGGAAGGAAGGAAGTACCAATAAAAATCCTGACCTTTTCATGTAATGCACTGGTTAGATCAAGTGCCCTTCCCTGAGCCAATGTTTCAGTGTGGGAGGGATTTTACTCGCATTAGTTAGGAAAAGTAGGGCCCTCTCGTGGCTAGGGCAGTGCTGGGGTTAGTTATGTGGCAACAATCTATGTAGGCATAACTGGTATACCGTAGCAAAGGCAGGTAGCACAATGTATATCACTTAAATAAGTCTGTTATATTTGTTCCAATATCACATTTTTGTTACTTACCATAGGTTGTGTGTACATGTGTATGTGAGCTTGTAATTTGGCAGGGTGGATTTCAATAGACCATATGAGTAGCATCAAGAATCAAGTATACCTTAATCTTTGCTTTTCTGTTTTAAGCAATTAACTAACTAGGTGGTGTAGCATTAACATGATACCAGGAGTATCTGAATTCCAGAAGAAAATAAATAGACATCTTGAAAACTGGTGATTGAGAATATTAAAATTTTTTGGCAAAACTGATTATGTTTTAAGACAGCACTTTACAAACCAATAATATATGAATCTCCTGGGGATCTTATTAAAATTCAGATTCTAATTTAGTAGGTGTGGAATGGGACCTATAATTCTGCATTTTCCCTGAGTTTCTAGGTGACTCTAGTGCTGCTGGTCCATTTTGCAAAGCTAGGGTTTAAAAGGCCTTACTGGTTTTTGTTTGTTTTACATTTTTTTCACAGAGTTAAGAACTAGCCGTTCACTATTGGAAGCCACCCATAGTTTCTTTTCTGGACCTCTGCTGTGGCCTTATACCTGGTCTCTCTTTCTTTTATCCCTACATGGCATCTGTAGTGATCATTTTCATATATAAATTGCAACACTTCCTTGCTTAAAAACTTCTACTAGTATCACATTATATTAGAAGCAAACTGAACTCCTTAGCACAACTGCACAGTACCAAATAATGCAGCTGCCTAACTCATGTTGTTCTTTCTCTTACTCACTTTGCTTGGAGTGCTTTGTAATACTGCTTATAATGTGTGGCCTTACATCTTCCCTTGACTAGCTGCTTTTATATTTCAGGTTTCTGTTAAAATATTGACCACTTCTAAGTGTATTTTATAAATAGATTCAGAGAATAATTTATTGGGGTATTGTACGGATAATATATCACTAAATCTTAGTTAATTCAGTCAATGAGGGATATAAAAGTAACAAAATGTTTGGTTGGTTCAGTTCATATTTAAGATTATTTCATGATGCATTTTAAAGCTTTTTTCCATAGTTTTATAGGATTAATAGATGTTTCTTTTTTTCTGTTCAAGTCACTCTGTGCACAGTATTCTGCAGACAAGCGAGAAGATGAGAAGATGTGTGATCATTTGATAAGAGCAGCTAAATATCGAGACCATGTGACAGCAATTCAACTAATCCAGAAAATTATCAACATTCTCACAGACAAGCATGGAGCCTGGGGAAATTCTGCAGTGAGGTAAAGTGATACCTTTAGGATTTGGCCCCTGATATTATGTAGGAGGCGTAGTTTAGATAAATGGCTTTGGATATGAACAGGGCCAGATGAAGAACTGAGTAATTTAATTTTGTATTTTGCCATCTATGAATTTGAAGCAAAGGGGAAAGAGAAAACCAGTATGGGTGCAGCTATAGATCTTTATAGATATTTCATTTTCCTCAACTACTTCTAAAAAATTATTTACTCATATATTTATTCATTTTTAAGTGAACTGTTAAGTAAAGACGTGAAGTGATTTTATTAGAATTTATATAATTACAATATTTTATTTTAAGCAATATTTCCTATTTTATACTTTTGAATTTTTAACACATACATTTGAAAACATAGTATTGTTGTTTTCTTTTCTTTTTTTTAAAATATATTTTATTGATTTTTTACAGAGAGGAAGGGAGAGAGATAGAGAGCTAGAAACGTCGATGAGAGAGTAACATCGACCAGCTGCCTCCTGCACCCCCCCCACTGGGGATGTGCCCGCAACCAAGGTACATGCCCTTGATCAGAATCGAACCCGGGACCCTTCAGTCCGCAGACTGATGTTCTACCACTGAGCCAAACCGGTTTCGGCTGTGTTGTTTTCTTGATTGAGTTGCAAGTTGTAAGGATATTATGATAAAAATGATTAAAATTTTATTCACTGTATCTACTTTCTTTTAAGATTACCAAATCAAACATGCTATTTTTTTTATTCTGAGTATAGAAACAAAATATTAAATTACCTTCTAGAATAGGGGTGTCGAACTCAATCAGAGAAGGGGCCAAAATCTAAAATCCAGCCTAAATCGCGGGCCGAATGGTTTACTGAACAGTCATAAACTGTCATTGTGATGGAAACGCAGTGGAGTGCAGTGATGACAGCGCAGTGCGGGCCACATTGCAAGGCCTGGCAGGACGGATTTGGCCCGTGGGCCTTGTGTTTGACACATGTGTTCTAGAACTACAGAACTTAGACAAATTGTGAAATTTAGTCGGATTGAAACATTTGATGCTACAAATCTTAGAAATATGCTTTGACTTATTTAAGTAATGTTAATGAAGAAGTTCTATTATTTGCCATTAGAGATATTTTTGAATTCCTCATTTCTGTACAACTTTTGCTAGAAGACGACAAAAAATGAAAATAGTCAATTGCTTACATATTATATAGGTGTAACTGGTTTTCACTTGTATTTTAAACATCTAATGTGTCTTGCAGACTTTGAAGTCTAGCTTTAGAAATTTTCCAGTGAATGGAAAATAATTTTAAATTTTAAAAGCTGAACTTGAAACTATTTGAGTTGAAAACCACTTGTTCTATATATTTTAAAATGAAATTTATTTGGGAAATATTGGTTAATGACATTATATAAATTTTAGGTGTACAATTTTATATAATATATCATTTGTATATTTCATTGTATGCTCACCACCCAAAGTCTAGTCTCTTTCTGTTACCATGTATTTGACTCCCTTTGCCCTTTTTAATCCTTACACCCCCCTTTCCCTCTGGTAACTACCATACTGCTGTCCATGTCTATGAGTTTGTTTTGTTTTGTTTTACTTGTTTGTTGCTTTTTGTTTATTTCACTTAGCACAATACTCTCAATATTCATTCATATTGTCACAAAATGGCAATGTGTGTTTCATCATTTTTATGGCTGAATAATATTCCATTTTATATATATGTACCTCATTTTCTTTATCTAATTATAGGTTGAAGGATACTTAGGTTGTGCCATGTCTTGGCTGTAGTAAATAGTGCTGCAGTGAACATAGGGGATGTTTTTGTTTTTAGTGCAAATATGTAAAACAAAAATATAGAGTATATATAACTCCCGATGTTTATTATGTAGAATACTTAAATAAAATTAATTACATTTTTGGGCATGTTGTTTTTGGTGTTCAAAAAAATGAATGCAGGTCAAGGACTTGTGGCAATAAAACTGAATGGATAAAGGCAGGAACCAGGTTTGTTTGTTTTAGTCCTACTGCAGTTGAAGTCATCTGCAAGAGTAGTCATGGAAATGACATGAATTACTGGGTCAGAGCTCTCAGGGCCTTAGCTTGCAACATCTAAGGATTTGTGTTTGGGGCTGGGAAGTTGTATTGAGAATTTTAGTTTCAGGATACTTTAATGTTTCAGATTTGATGTAGTCACTTGACATCAGGTACTGAATAAATTAGGATATTACTTTGCCATGCACCAATTGGGAACTAATACATATTTGTTTAATTATTTAAAAAGTATTTTTAAACCTAAAATTAATTTTATAATTTAAAAATTAAAAACTTATAGGTAACTTACGATAAGTGTTTCACTTATCCCGTGTGTCCTTGTTATGACATCAAAATTCTTTCTCATGATAGCTATACCTTTGTATAGCATAAGTATATCTGAAAGCATTGTTTCTCTGAATAATTTTGGTATAGTGAAGTATCTTGGAGAACTAAATGGACTGTGAAGTGTAAATATGTAGAG